CGCAGGGTGGGCCGGCCTGACCCAACCAGTGCAGGAATTCATGCACTGGGCCTCTAGTTAAGTTATAAGAAAGAATACTAGCTGAATTCTACAGGGAGGTACAATGCATCCACTTTTATCTGTGTCCCCAGAATAAAGCATTATTATGGGATGGTATATGGTTTCACTTTAAAAGATGGCCAACCATAAAGGATGGGTAAATGAATGGTGGTCCAACCATTTGATGGTACACTGAATAGTTATTAGAGGGCATGCAGTTGGATGGAAATGCATCCTGGAGCGCTCTCCAGGTGTCAAACACAATTCCCAGAGCTATAAGTCATTACTTCTCTTTATAACAAAATGTTACAAAGCAGTGCATAAAGAGTGACCTCCTTTTCATAGAACAAACAAAATGTGTTTATGTGCATACATAAAGTTCAACACCAAAATATTAATATAAGTTCTTGATATTCTGAGTATAAGTGAGTGACTTTTCTGGATTTTCTAAATCTTTTACATCAAATACGTATTAATATTGCCATACAAAAAAAGCAAAAAAGAGGGTTTAAAATAGCTACCGGAAAGAGGAAAGATCTGTTGCTCAGAGGTTTTTCCACATAATATTGCCAATTCCTTCCCTACTCACTTCTTAGGGGTAGGGGGAGCAAGGGGTCATCTGAGAAAGCACCTTTAGCCAGGAAATGAGCAAAGCTCAGAAGGTCAGAACATAAAAGGCTGTATAAAAGGTGATGAGTAATAAATTGGATAACAGAATCTTAAGTGTTTTTGTGTGTGTGTGTTACTGATACTACCATCAGTTATATTATATATACTAGTACTGTTAGAAAAAGGCAAGGTAGTAGAAAATTATTGTTAAGTCTATCTGAAATCTATACTAGGTTCTTGGAATGTCTCTTTGAAATGACTTGAAGAAATCATGTTCTTGTATTTCAGAGCATCATTCATGTATGATTTTGTATAAGTAACCAAATAATTCTCCTTTGTAGAAAAGCTGAAATAAGTAGGTATTTCTTGGTTTCCAGGGATATTGATATAAAACTGTCTGAAATAAAGACATCAAAAGAAAACTTTCAATGTGCTGGTCTTTATATTTAGTGTTCTGACTTGTTTCTATGGAAACTTAATAGCAAATGCTGAAATTTGAGGTTTCTTATATCATTTTATTGAATTTCCCCCAAAAAATAAAAACAAATTGAAATGAAATTTTAACTATCATGTTAAACATAAAAAGGTAAATTCTGTACTCATGAACTCTATTTTTTCAACTCTTCTGATTTAACACTCCTGATCATAGTCCTATGCTTAATCCTTGTTACCTTACCTGCTCTCTTACCAGTTTCTCTGCAAGTCCCTCTATATGAGGCATTCTTGGCTTCAATTTGAAGTCACCAGAACGAACTCTTTAAAATATATCAACTCGTTTACCTGATAAATTCATGCTATTTCATGACTTCTACTCTTTTATTCTTATTCATCATAAGGAATTTAGAAATATAGAATGGAGCCCTGGCCGAGTAGCTCAGTTGGTTAGAGCGTCATCCCAATACACCACGGTTCTGGGTTCGATCTCCATCAGGGTACATACAAGAATCAACCAATGAATGCATAAATAAGTGGAACAACAAATCAATATCTTTGTCTCTCTGTCTCTTCCTTTCTCTCTAACATCAATACATTTTAAAAAAGAAATATAGAATGGAGAGGTAAATGTTGCTTCTGAGTTTGTACAATAATGTTGATGGAAGAGGGCATAAATGGTGATGGAAAAAATAAAACAGTAATTTCGATGGAAAAATCAAGACTGGAGTAAGTTAAGATAGCCCCACTCTATGAAGAAATTATAAAATATAAGCTGCATTCTAAAGAGGTTTTTAAGCACAAGAACTGAACTTGGTGTATCTATCACCTCCATGTCAGCTTTTCTGTCCAGTAGCTGTAGCTGTGTTACACAGTCATTTCAGATCTCTTTTTTGAAATATATTTTTTATTTCAGAGAAGGGAGAGGGACAGAGAGCCTCCTGCATCAAGCCCGCAACCTGGGCTTGTGCCCTGACTGGGAATCAAACCGTGACCTCTTGGTTCATAGGCCGATGCTCAACCACTGAGCCACCACGGCCGGGCTCATTTCAGATCTCTTAAGTCTTGCTTTCTTTATTGGTAATATAGGGAGAACATATGCATGGGTCTTATTTGCAGTTAGCAGGGGCAAATGAGATATACATGAAAATGTATTGTAAATCTTAAAAGAATATATAAAGGTCCTATTTTGGTCTCTCACTAACACTACCCACCTACTAACTGGTTCGTAAAATCACTCACAGGCTTACCTTACAGCACCTAAGAGCAAAGTTTTCACAAGTACTTACTTGCTTTGTGTTTAAAGGTACAATTAATTCACATAATTTGTTCCTTTTTTTCCACAATATTTGAATATTCTTAAAAGGAAGTACTTCCCAGTTACACAGCCAAATCCATTGTCCACAGGCTTATTATTCTAACTTTTAAATAAATTGAAAGCTCAAGTAAAGTTTGAATAGAGTAAGAACTATAAAACATTTTCTCTATGAAATCAAATAACCTCTGGCATTTACATGAAACAAATGGGCCTTTAACATCTCATAACTCATTGTTTTCTACTTCAAAGAACAGTCTTTATGAGCCATGTTGCTACCCAGAATTATTTTAAAACAGACATTTCCTCTCTTCTCCCTCCGCCCTACCCAGCTGTTAGGTCTTGACAACTTTTACTCAACGTTCTCCAAGGTGAACCGGGTCCTATGGGCAGGAGGGGAGAGGAAGGAGAGCGAGCCATGGAGACAAACACTGCTGTGCAGGGCCTGGCATCTTAACTCCCAGACCTTCCTATTACACATGAAAGTCTACATTTATGTTTGTTAGTTTTTTCTCTTTTGAAACGTTGACCCACAGTCTCATGAACCACCCCATCTCTCCCTTAGAGCAGACAACGTGAGAGTAAAGTCTGTTAAGTCAGTGGAGTAAGACAACGCATATTTGCATCCAAGTGGGAATTTTAAAGTAATCAGACTTTAACATTGGGGGGGAGGGGGGCGCATATTCTCAGTTAACATTCCACATCCTTCAGGTCTTTTAAGTTCCCTCTCCCACATTCTCTTGCCTTCTGTATTCAAACGATAGTTGGAAGAAATAAAGCAACTGAAAACTGCGTGCTTAAAGCACACAGACCCTCCTTTGCCGGTCTCCGTCCTGAACTTGAATAACCCCCCCTAGAATGTCTGCGTCTGACCTGCCCCGGGCATCAACCACCTCCAGGGGTGGGCGGCCAGGCTGCCAGCGGGCCCCGGCCCGGCCCCTTCACCTGGGCACCGTCTGGGCAGGTGAAGACGGGGGAGATCGGATGGATGCTCCGAAGTTGCGGTGGGAGAACCTATACCCGAAAGTCCCTACAAAGTCCCACCAGACATTCAATAAAGCCATGACCAGGCCGGACGGAGGGCGGAAGGGTCTCGGGCTGGGCGGGCGGAGAAGGGACCTGAGGGAAGAACTGGGTGCCGGGGGTGAAGAGGGACACTGGCCCGCAGGACCGGGAAGGGTAAGGGGCGGGGACGCCAGGCGGAGCCAGCCTTCCTTTCGGTGCCAGCCCGGGGAGGGCCGGCTCCGGGCAGGAAGGGGCCCCGGGGC